TATTTTGCTTAAGCCTCATGTGTGACTGCAGTAGACGAATGTTACACTGAAACGCTTGCTGATCATGATGGTCTTATGCCTTTGAAAGGCCCACCCAGGAGCGCCATAAAAACGTCCATGTAACATTTGCCCAAATACTATACAGCGACGGAGCGTAGAAAAAGTGCCTATTAACGACTGGCAGGCGTCAGTTACCTTAATCCTACTCGTTTTTCACCGTCTCGACCTTGCCAGTTGATTTTCTGGTCTGTTTAGGGCTAAGTAAAAAGTTACTATTTTTAGGCCATCAGTCAAACGACTTTTGATCAGCTTTCGTTTACATGCGAACACAACCGCAAAGCTGAGTCTCGGATCCTCAGACTACGTGATTGCAATTAAAAACACGGCTCGAACACCCTATTTCATTATGTTTTTGTGTGACAGTTCTATATTCCATTGGAGATGGATTGACCCTTTTCTCTTTCTAGCTACTCATGCTCTAGAATATCATGTTACACCGGTGTTAGTTCAAAATTCTATGGCATCAGAGTAGCTAAAAAGTTAGTTTACTGCAGTCCTTCAACATGAAACAGTCTCTGGGGGGCCAAGCCTCAGCTCCCGCGTTCTTCTCGAGATAACGTTGTTATCTCTCCCAATTTGTGGCACGGGAGGGTTCCGCGGAATATTCCTTCCCCACTGAAGCCTCCTTTTTCACTCTTAATCTCTGCTATCGGTTTTATCGTGTGTGATTGCCACGATAAGAGGCTTCGTTTTTCTCGTTTTCTCGTGCGACTGTTTTTCACTAAAATTTTTCGTTGTTCTGTTTTTTCGTTCCTTTTCGTCAAAATGGCCGTTTTTTTGTATTTCTGAGAAATACTTGCCCGTCAATCGAAATTTTAAAAATTTAAACTTCCGGAATATTTCGACCCTCCTTCGCAGCACTTTTTTGTTACTAAGGCCTTAGTCGTCTTTTTCTGTCCCGCCGGAAGGTTGCGCTGTGCCAATCTGGCAGAATGGCACACGTTTTTGTCGACCCGATGTTGAAAAGACCACCAAAAGAACTGGCTTGGTAGAGACGGTGAAAAGCATGTAGATCTCTGTTTAGACGTTGGCCAGTCGTCTTAGAACCTAGCTTTATTTTCCGTCGATATGTATCTTCCGGGAGAATGTTACATCAGATGACTCAATCGACTGCAATAAAAATTGCTGTTTCCTTGGATCCTTCACCTGTTGACATGACAGACATGCTCTAACACACGTCTCGAATGCCTTCCTCTTCCCAGGCCATTCACCACGCATAAATTGTAGTCCTTGTATAACATGGCGAAAATTCAAAAAACTGACGTGTCAGAATCGAAAATGAAATGTTATAACAATTAAAGCACTAAAAACTGAAAAACTTAGAAATTTGCATGAAAATTTTCGTAATTTTTTTGCTATTACAGCTGTTCAAATTTGATTGGTCAGAAATTTTTAGAACATTTTTGAGACCTGTTTGTTCTTTTTTCAAATCTTTGATATAATCTTTAAAAATTGTACTCCTGATGATGCACTAAATGTGCGAAGACGTTTGAATTAAAATTTTAAAATTCTTGTAAAATCAAGTACTCACATCTAGACAACAACTCCGGAACTAATCCCAGACTTGATTAGGTGATGCGAGTATAACCCAAGAAGTTTTATGCAAGTATAACTCAAGTAGTTTTATGTAAGATGCTCAAGTAGTTTTAAAGCAATTGGTCGCTTCAGTGAGCGACGTGCCTAGTCGATCCGCCAGTTGCACTCAGTATCCACTCTCTCTGCTTTGTGTGGAGATCAAGCCAACTCTAATGAAGTCTAATGTTTATGGACAAATTGCGCATAGCAATTTGATTCACGTCTGATTTTCCAGCAATTGTTAATTCGGCTGTTCTTATTCTTGACTTTGGTATTTCAGTTGCTGCGAGAAACTTGAGCATGGTAAGGCCTATTTGAAGCTTTGACAAATTTCACTTGAACCAAAAACAACTCAATTTTCTTTCATATGACCGACTGGCACATAACCTCATTTGTGACTAGAGTGAACGACTGTTAGAATTTCGAGCACTGCATTCTGCTCTTTGTAAAAGTTCCAAGGTGGAAAGTAGATTTTTTCTCGGTTCCGTACAGTTTTTCAGCTATCTGTTGGAAAATAAAAAGCTTTTTTTTAGTTGCATGGATGAACTGGATAGTGATTTTCCCGATTTGGACACTCTTTTGGATCAAGCAGAACAAGGTAAACCTTACCGTCAATTCTAATTTTTTTTTCACTTTATCTTGTTTGGACTTTACTTACTATAAGCAAACAGCTAATTACCCCTACCGTCTAATGCAACTGGTAATGTGCGAGTATTTTGTTGCAGAAATAGAGTCTAGCAGCAATCAGAACCAAAAGCGTACACCCATCGACTCTGACAATGACAACAGCTTTGACCCGCTAGGTGATATAGGCAATTTATCATCAGGCGGCGATACACAGGAGCAGCAAACAACAAATTGTGAACTCTTAGAACTTTTCTTTGGCCAGTCAACCTCTATTTCAAATAAAACAGCCGATGATGTTATTGATGATGTGTGTGTAACTCCACCAGAAGAAAGGCATGACGAAGACACTGGATCAAGGAACCCAGATTCAGCTTCACGAGGATTAGTACTCTGCTCAGAGGAACGAATACCTAGTGGGGAAGACGACCATTCTTCGCTGGAAGACGGGCCACAAGATTTCGAACACTCAGAGGCCGAGATTAACCAAACTGAGATCAGTTTAATTACCAATCAAAACTTATCATCTAATTTTTCTTATTTACCACAGAATGATTTTACTACAAATAGCTTAGTTGAAGACCCGCTAGTTGAAGCTCCTATCATATATGCGATATCACAATCATCTGCAGGAAATAATGTTGATTTTAACCAACCCGAGGTATCTGAGGAAGAGTTTGAGCAGTATATGAGCGAGATGGAAAATGAAATAGCAATAAATAAAGTTCCAGATAGACGGAACGTTGATGAGGATAGCAATATGGTGCGAGTTGGTGATTTCGAACCAAACCTTGAAGCTCCGAGCCTGAATTCTTCGTATATCGATGATTCACCGGTAACAAATTTTTCGCAGCCGCCTGCCCCTCCCTACTCCGATGTCCCAAAAACATACGAGTCGGCAGAAACCGGGGAAAAATATGATGGTCGTCAAAGTTCTGATGCGGCCAGTTTTGTTGAAAATGAAGGGGAATTCAGCTCAACTGACGCTGTTGAAACTGAGAGTGGTAAAGAAAGCTCACCAGCCAACTCGGCAAGGGTATCAAAAGAAAGAACGCTAAGACCTCTAGTTGAGTACTTTGGAGGCTCCTCGCCACAAGGAAGCTTGAGCAGCGAAGACCTAAATGTTCATAACTTGGTTCCCGAGTTTTTCGGACATGAGCATTCAATCAATGAATTAGGTATGATGTTTTATAAGTTTTCAACAACAACAACATTATAGTTTAAAAGAGTTGAGATTTTTGACGCTTAATAAGGCGGGACTAATCAACATGTTAACTTCTCTTTTTAGATGGCCCTTTTCAGATTGCTTTAATATGGAAAGGAGAACTTAGAAACAGTTTGAATTTTTAATTTTGCAGATGTCATTTTTCGAACCTTTTTTTGCTGTAGCAAGTCTTCTGAAATGATTGCTTCGAAGTCATGAGCAACTTTTTTCTGAAGATTATGCTCTGAATGTAAGCTAAAACTAACATTTTAATCCGTGGTATGTAAAATTAATCATTAAAGTTCATGTAACATCAAGACAAAGGATTATAATTTCAAATGCTATTCGTTCCATTGGAAATTTGTAAGCTACCTGTTGTTTCGTGGTTCAAAACAGCCGAATCGAATGTTGGTTTTCAACGGTTATGTCCCTCATGATGGGGGACCGAATGCTGGATTTTCTCTTTTCAGTTATGTTTTGCCAATCAGAATTCATAGAAATTGCCAAAATCTCAAAGATAGCGAGCAAATCCAGGTCATTAAATATGATTTTTTTCCGATTGAAAAATAATTCTCTCGATGCGAATACACTTGTTCAACCCAATGAATTTGTCAGAACTTTTTTTACAGAATAACTTGGTTCTATTGAGCAAAATTTGACACAATTTTTTTCCTTAAATTGCTCAACAAAAATTCAAATTACCTTAGCTGAACGCTGTTTTTGCTGCTGAAAATCATACACTGTTGCATTTTAATCACATTTGATTTTTAGTTTTAGACAGAATATTTTCAATCAAAAATCCAAAAGAGATGTAGTACAATTTTATATCATTTTATAAAGCCCATAACACAAAAATTACTGGAAAAAATCATCAACTGTTTTGAAGACTTGGTTGATGTACATTGCCCAATTGATACATTGTTTCAATTGCTATACGTTTAGCTATTAATGCTTTTGCACAATGGCACACTCCGCCATCAATTTCACATTTCTTCAACTGGGAGCACATAAACCAGTGTTTGTGCTGGTCGAGATATGACCTTGAACCTCCTGATTTCATGATTACTTTCACGTCGACATCTCGTATCAAACTGCCTCCTCCTGGAAAAACATCTTCGAGTATATCGTATTTCCATAAAAACCTGATTACCCAAGCAAAGCTTGTGTTATAGAATGAACTTTCTTTTTTTCCAACTTAATTCGCAAATATTGTTGCGACGCAATTGGTGCGACAAAGTATTCATTTTGAAAGTGTTCATTTTGATCCAGCAAATGCTAAGGATATTAACACAGACTATTATATTACGAATAGCACTTTAGCTTCAAGGCATCATGTATATGTAGCGTAGAGGTAGGGAAGGAGACCAGCAGCAAAATAAGAGGATTCGAACCTGGGCAGTATTAGATGTTTCTAATGATTTTTTTTTCGTTTTGTTCTTTAAATGTGTCCGCTCTATAAATTGAGGCATGTTAGTAGGTAAATTTCTTTTTTCAATTTGACTCGTACTGCTAATGCGTCTTAATTGGCTTGCGTCACCTAGCAATTATATAGACTCAAAATTGGCGTGCGTCATTTATGAAATGTAGACGAAGTTTTACTCATTCAGTTTTTCCCAGTAGCGTTATAGGTCATACTTTTGCTTGTGTATGCGAAGTGCAACTTCGCCTTCGTGTTGAATTTGACTCTTCCACCAAAGCAACATCATAATTTTTAGAATTTGCGTTGAGTTCTTTTCCAACGCTTGTAAAACGCCATTACCGGCTTATAATTGCTCTGCCATTTTTTTCCAGAAATTGATCTGCCATTTTTCTAAAAGTTTTAACTAAAAAATGCCTAGCTGACTCGTGGTTAGGCGAACTAATGGAAGGAGAGTACCCATTAGAACTTCTCTTAAACAATAAATTGTTTGGACATAGGTGAAAATCATCATCAGGATGAGTGGGGTTGCGTCCGATTGGCCTCTCGTTGAGCAGATCAGCAACCTCAAACAAAACAGTTTGAAACTCGGTAATTGAAAAAACTTGATTGCCGATAGATATGATATTGCCAGACACTTTTGAACTGAAATAATTACTGGTTCAGCGCACGCCATGGAGCTCCACCTGGTGCAAATTCGCATCGTAATTCTTTTTTCCCAATAGACTTCTAAAAAATACTTAGCAAGTTAATAAAACGCCTCAAAGGAAGTACCAGGTAGTGAATAGAATATTCTTCCGTAAAATCTAGATAGACTGCTCTTGATAATTGACACGTTATGATTAAACCAAAACCTTTTTCAACATCTTTTACGCCCCATTTAACTTGGCACAGCCGAAAAAGATCTATGCCACGATCTATGAAAGGTAGGAATGGGTCCAGTCGCCCTGATGTTGGACTTCCCAAAAGCTGATTTGCGTTCCTCTTACTCAGTATTTATTTATGCTTACGTGTTTTGCCTGCTGCAGACAGTTTGGCCAGATTACCCTGTTCGTGGAGTTCTCGAACAATCAAATCAGTTCGCGTAGATTTTCACAGAAGTAAAACAGGCTCATTAATACGCTGTCCAACACAATATTTTTGTTGCTGTTCTCAACAGCACCGAGGCTCAGGAGTTTCTGTTTTTTCAAACTCTTTATGAATCTCTTTTTGTTAATTGAAAAGAAAAAATTTCCACGATCTATCCATCTTTTCACTTCGGTTCGCGTCGCCATGAATTTAGTAAGTGCGTTTCTTTCAATGTTACGAGACGTGCTACTACTCTTCAAAAATGTTTTTTTATTGAATATACTACAATCATTAAAATTGAAAGCCACAGCTCTCGTTTATGGCAAGAAAGCTGTAGTTTTTGACAGTTTCGGCAACTCAATCATAAACCGATTTTTGTTGAAGGGGTCACTTTTTGAAAGGCAGTTCCGAAAACTTTATAATCCTGTTTGGCGAAGGTTGTCAGACTTAAGCTCCAAAGGTAAGGCACCCCGTTTAATTAGGTCGGCAATGTTATCACCTCTCAACCCAAAAGGAGTTTTTAAGATCCTCTGTACCTTGATTTTCGCCAAGACGAATTCTAGTAAAGGTAATGAGCTCATACGAATCCTTTTGCACCACGTCAAGAATATTTAAACGCATGTGCGTTAAAAACAAATCTTTTCATTCGCACAGCCATCAAAGCTCATTGAACAAATGCAGTTTTTTGTTGTAGCGCCTAACGGTTTTTTGTCATCAACAATTTTGATTTGAACTTCGACTCACCCACTGGCCAAAACAAGTATTCCGCAGCCGCAAATGCTTTCTCTAAAGCATCACTAAATTAACCAGACTTGGCGAACCCACTGCATTAAAGTGTTTCACCCATCTTGGCATTTGATAATTACTCATTTAAATATTTGTTCAAAAGATTTCAGCCCCTTTTGTCACGACCATTGTTTTTTTAATTCAAGTTCTACGTCCTGGTTATCCGAATGAACTCAGTGCTTAATTTTGATCCTTTTGAGAGTTATTTTACTATTTCTTCCATTCTTTTTTAGGCTACGTTTGCTGACTCGATGCTATCAATGATATCATCCATGTATGTTCCTGATCGAATTACCCGTTTGGCTTCACTTTCATCTTCTGAAGCTAAATCAGCTGTTTTTTGCAGAGCTAATTGCACAAATGTTGCAGTTGGTCGGTCGCCAAACCACAGAACTGTCATCATGTGCTCGACTATTTATCTCGAAACATCCAAATCACTCCAGAGAAACCGATAAGTTTGCTGATATTCTAAGGATATTAAAACAGTATGATACATTTTTCTGATGTCTCCTATGTAACCAAAGAAGTTTCTCGAAATTTCAATTGAATACCTAGCAGGTTATTCAAGAGTTCCGGGTCCTGTAGCTCAATACTCATTTAATACATGATCCTTAATGTTTGCCCATGAATTGAAAATAATGCGACATGTGCTGGAGGCTGATTCTTTGAGAACTGCATGATGTTTTATACAGTGAATAGGTACGTCGTAGTTCATGTCAACTTAGGTCAACAGTTTAGCAACACCTTGTTTTACCATATCCATGATCTGCTCCTGGTATTAGCGGCATGATATTCGATTTTCGAAAGACTTTTTTCTGTACCAAAAAACTTTTTTTCTACAAAAATCTGTTGTTAGAAAGCAGGAGGCAAAATATTTTTTGTTGAGAGTCAGACCCGAATCTTTCAACAGTTCCTTTTGTTCTCGAATTGAAAAATCAGAAGTACCAATGGCACTTTTACTACAACGACAGTTTCCACGTTTAGGCTTGCAGTTTATTCCCACATTCTCAATGTCGTAAAAATCACTCAATCTGACTTCACAATTAGCAAATTGACCTTCCGAATGGACAAATAGTTCGTAGCTCCCTGAACAGAAACTAACGTTTTTTCATACAGCACCAAGTCATCTTTATTTTGTATGGCATTAGGGTGGTATCGTGCAATGTTAGGCCCTAATAAGACCTATGCTGTGCCTGAAAATGCATCATCTAAAGAAAATGCGTCTGGAAAAATACGGTTGCGCTGAAAGTTAACGAAGTCTTGCGAGATGCAATTGACAGCATATGCATGCAAAGAAATCGTATTGCTCTTATTTCCTCAAGATCTAAAGAATACAACTTTGTTTGCTTCTTTGACAGGCCATCTATTGTTTCCATCCAGTTAGTAACAGGTTAACTAGGCAGACGCCATTTTCGCGCGACTGAATGTGAAATTAACGAAACGGTTGCAGCCGAATCCCAAGTACACAAAACCTTTTCGCGCGCGAACCTACTGTAAAGACCAATTGGCATTATTTGCAGAATAGCTTTTTTGCTAGTGTTGGGTGGACTACATTTGGCCACAAATTCACGAGTACTATCATTCGGAGGGGTTTCAAAATGTATTAATTTATGATAATTTTTCCACAATTTGGTTTCTCACACAGCTTTTTGTTTTTACACTGCTGGGCCGTATGGCCAACTGACAAACAATTAAAGCACGCT